ACGGAGTGAAAAAATGCGTTCTCTGCGTTTCCTTGCTTCATTTCGATGTCTCCTTCTTGCAACAATAACCGCTGCCATGTGTGCGCAATTACGCATACAGACCATTTGCACCTTCTTTTGAAACGTGTTAAATATAGAGTAAGATACCGTTAGCAAAATAGCTTTCAGGTTTGATAAATTACTTTGCGAGTGCTAAATTAATATATTTACATGTTCTCCTCCCACAAGACCCACTTTTGCGTGTAAACGCCCCATATTGCATATTCATTGCAGAAAAAGTACTAAATGGATAAGAGACGCTATTTAGCACGTTTTAAAGACCAAATCATTTTAGCACGCTGTTGATAGATCAGTTTGTACATTTTTTAGCGTGCGCAGTGAAATAGCTCACGTTTTTATACACGCAAACCTTTGATAGATCCGGCCCTCAGTGTAAAAAGTCAGTCTGAAGATGTAGTCAGTCGGAAACCATTTTTTTGTTGTTCTTTCTTCCAGTTAAGTGCAGAATGCCATTGTCTGTAAATAGTAAGCTTATTGTCTGCATTTGAATGTTATTTCAATCTGAAAAACTCACAAAGAGAGAAAAGATAATTAGAAGAATTTATTGATAAGAAGTATAGTCTTTGGCGCTCAGACCTCGGCAGGAACATTCATGCTGAATTATGCTTTAACATGCATGAGTAGATGAATGTGAATAGGGATGTTCCCCCAAAAAGCCGAGGTCGAGGCCGGAGAGTCCGTATGCTCGTAGGGCATACGCTAGGGACAGAATAAAGAATGCGTAATGAAATGCAGAGAAGGTTTGCAAACAACTTACCGAGCCAGGTTGTTGATGAGGATGGCGACCACGGTTGACGCCGAGAACTTACCGATGATGATTTACCCATGATGATGATGATGAACCCATGATGATGATGATGATGAACCCATGATGATGATGAACCCATGATGATGATGATGATGATGATGAACCCATGATGATGATGATGATGAACCCATGATGATGATGAACCCATGATGATGATGATGATGATGATGATGAACCCATGATGATGATGATGATGATGATGGTGATGATGATGATGAACCCATGATGATGATGATGAACCCATGATGATGATGAACCCATGATGATGATGATGATGATGAATTGTCGTCTGGATCGAAATCCGACATTGCGATTGCAGGATAGCGGCTGTGGTGAGATTTGAGGGAGTTTATAAAGTGGAAGCAGGACGCTGATTGGGCTTCGTGGTGGAGTAGTTCAAAGCTGATTGGCTCGCTTCGGAGACGGATCGGCTTCTGATGATGTGAGGTAAGTCAGAGTTTCTTCAATTGAACTTTCGCTAGAGCTTCATAATTTGGAGTCTTATGATGTTACCCTTTTTACAATAATTTTGCTGCATTTTGTGTGTTTCAGTTTTATACATAGCTCATTAAAACCTGGTGAAAGAAACTATAGAGTGCTTCTTTGGCGGATGAATTATGGAGCTACCTGTATAGCTGGGTTACTGTCAACAACTTCAGTGCTTAGCGAGGCCAGGACATAAAATAAAGCAGCTTTTTTTCAAACTAGGATTCCAAAATGTATTCACTTTATATTGTTTATTTCATGCTTAACAGATAATTATTATCATAAATATATTTTTCAGACAAAATGCTTTACATGATTTGGTTGCCATTGAATATCAATCTGCTGAAATGAAGCTCAATTTATCCAGAAAAAGTTTTTGATTTTCACCATAGAACATCAATGTGCTGATTTAAAGCTGCTCATATCCATTGTATAGTTTTATTCTTATGCTAAATGTGATGGTCTGAAAAACACAAGGTTGAAACGACTGGCATGATATCGGTTAGGTGGCAAAAATCAGCTTTGTTTACCCTGAAAAGGTTATTTTTGCAATGGAGCCGCAAGCTTACGATTTCAAGTTAGGAGGAAAGTATTTCTAGTCAGATTCACAATATATATATTTATTATTTTTAAGCTAAATATTTTGGCCACAATAGGTAGGTGGCTTTTTTTCCCAAGCTTTTGTGAAGAATTTCTGCTCAAGTAAATTTTATAATTTTATTTTTGAGCTTAATGTTATGGCTAATTGTCTTTATTTATTTTGTTTTCATCTTTTATTTCAAATTCTGCATTATTATGGTGGTTCAACTTCTAACTTTATATGCTTTCTGTATATTCGGATCATAATACTTCCTACTCACATAGCTCTGTTTAGCTGTGACATCATCTTGAGGCAAAATATCAGCTGGTCTGCTGACACCAACTCTAGTCTGCATAGTGCTACAGTGGGTAGCACTGTTGCCATGCAGCAAGAAGGTTCCTGGTTCAATTCCTGGCCCAGGATCTTTCTGCATTGATTTTGTATGTTCTCCCTGTGTGTTAGGCCTGCTTACTAGTGCTGAGCTCTGCATCTGTTGTCGTTATTGGTTTCAGTTCTGTTGAGGCTGGCCAGTAGGAATACAGGCCTGCAAATTAAATATTTTCCCATCAAGAGAAGAATCCTCATCATAGCACCTAAACAGCTCGGGCTAAAGTCGCTAATGATATTCTCATAACCTCAGATACAGCTCTACTCTAGACTCGTTTAAATCTTATCTATCTGATCAATTTCAGTTTACCTGTTTATCAGTTTATCATTGAAGCACCACAGGGTTCAGTGCTAGGACCAATTCTCTTTACTATATCTATGCTCCTAATCGTGGAATTATTAGACAGCATGGGATTAAATTCCTGCTGATGATACTCAGCTATATTTGTCTAAAAAACCAGATGAAGCCAACCCATTACATAGATTACAGGCATGTCTTGAAGACATAAAAACCTGGATGACTCTTAACTTTTTCTAGAATTTCCTTCTTTCATCTGCAGAATATTGCAAAAATTAGAAATATCCTGTCCAGGGGTTATGCTGAGAAACTAGTCCATGCATTTGTTACTTCAAGGCTGGATTATTGAAATCAAGAAGTCCACAAACTGTAGTTAAAAGCCTTCAGCTGATACAAAATGCTGCAGCCAGAGTTGTGATGAAAATGTAAAATTTAGATCATATCTCTCCTATCCTAGTTTCTTTTCATCGGCTTCCTGTTAAATCCAAAATAGAATTTAAAATCCTCCTTCTCACACATATAACCTTAAATGGCCAAGCTCCCTGTCCCTAACAGAGCACTTTCAACACTAACAGTGCTCTAAATCTGCAGGTTTAATAGTGGTCCCTAGAATTTGTCAAAGTAGAATGGGAGGCAGATCTTTAAGTTATCAGGCTCCTCTCCTGTGGAACTAACTACCAGTTTTAGTCAGTGAGGCAGACATCCTGTCTATTTTTAAGGGTAGGCTTAAAACTTTCCTTTTTGATAAAGCTTATAGTTAGAGTGGCTCAGGTTATCCTGAGCTATCTATATGGTTTTGCCGCTATAGGGTTAGACTTCTGGAAGACATAGGGACCCCTATTTCTCCATTATGCTTCATTCTATCTCTATTCTTCCACTCTGCAGAATATGTTAGTTCAATCTCTAACGTTATGCTCTATCTGCTTTTCTCATAATAGCTTTGCCTCGTCTGTTCCTGTTTGGCTGTGACCCCATAATGGAGAGAAATATCATCCATGCTGCTGCCATCAACACCTTTGTCTATAGATGTTCGAGATGTGCCGTTTTTCAGTGTAGTCCTGTTTCTCTGACTGTGACTGGCTGAATGTGCTTTCTTCATCCTCTGACAAGGAAGTTGACTCGGAGCTCGTCTGCCTGCCTGTGTGTTTCCTGAATAGGGCCGCCTTTTAAAGTTGCTTTTTGTATTTCTGCTTCTGTCTCCTTAAACCCCAGTTGGTCTCGGCCTGGTTCTGCTGGAGATTTCTTTCTGTTAAAAGGGAGTTTTTACTGTCCACTGTCGCTACAAGCATGCTTAGTTTGAGGGTTTTGAGTCAATAAGTTGATGCAATCAACTGGTTTTCCTTAGAGAGAAAACTTTGAATCAATTTGACTGTATGAACTGGTGAACTGTAAAGTTCCTTGAGGTGACATGTGTTGTGAATTGGTGCTATATAAAAAAACTGAATTAAATTGAATCCTGAATCGAGAGCAAGACAGAGGCACCAATGGAGCTAGTTACCATTACCTTTTCTAAAGTATTTTTGGATCAGTGCTGCCACGTTTCTTTCGTTTATCTGCTTCTGTCTCCTTGAATCTCCAGTCGGCCTCGGCAGAAGGGCGCTCACACCATGTCTAGTTCTGCTAGAGGTTGTTACAAGGGATTTATTTTTCCTCTGGTGCTGCCTGCATGGTGTAAAGGATTGCTGTAGATTCAATGACACAATGCAAGCGGTTGCCACATGCTCATCAAGGAGAAAATCCTGCAAAGTCAGTGGCTCTATGTAATCAGCAAAGCTTTTTAGAACACTTTTGACCAATTTATGATTTACTTTATGATTCTTCATTTGTCACTATAAAGATAATTCAGATTATATGTGCTGTGAATCGGGGTTATATCAATAAACTGAATTGATTAAACCTCAATCTAATTTTGAGAGAGGTAAGGAAATAAGGTAAACTGTGCTTTAGGGTGTCTAGAAAGTCCATCTCAGAAGCTAGTGTTCTTTTATCATCATCAGATGGGAAGTTTCTCAAAGCAGAATTTACAATGGTTCCTTCTAATTTGTGACAAAATAGCCACAATAGAATTTTCAGATTTCAGATATATTGGCGTAAAAAACCTACAATTTTATCATTTTGCTTTTCAATTCTGCTTTTGTTATACTGATTATAAAATCATTAAGCATACAAAATAAAATAATGTTCTTGGGACACTAAGCAGTTACTTAGTTCGGTAATGCCTTGGGCCTGCCCTAATTCTGGTAACTAATTGCTACTGCTGTTTTTCTGAACTTGAGCATAGGCTTAATAAAGTCAGGATATATGGAAAATCACAGCTCTTACCAGGATATCTAAACCATAGCTCTTACCTTGGTTTTGTGAAGTAATAAAGAACAGGCAACTCAGTTTACAGACTTTATTGAGGAACATGTCCAGTATACATTGCGTTGTCATGATATAGAACTAAAGAAGAAAAAGATACAACCTACAAAAAACAAATTGAGCTGAGGATGGTTATGTATAAAAATTATTTTCAGATGATATCGTTAAATGGTAATAATACAGTGAACACCGGTCAGATGTGGATCAGTGAAAGTTTCATGTAAATATGGTATTGTCAACAGCTGTAATATGCGACCATCGCTTCTACATATATTTACTAACTTTATATAACACATCAACAGCTGTCTGGTTATGCAAGAAGATGGCCAACTACTTTCATTGTTTTTCAACTAGGAATAATCTAAATGGCTGTTTATGATGGACTTATTGGTTTGGAAATAACCATTTATGCTTTTAAAAAACTTTTTTCTAGTTTGTTTTCATTGAATATGAATGGCATGTCTAAACTTAACTATAAATCAAAATTAATTCCTTACAACATCTCCAATTACAAGAATCGAATAACAAAAGAAACTTCATTATCTATCTAACTGAAAGACATTTCAGCCAGAAGAAAAGCAATTTAATCAAGAATATGAAACAAGAAATGATTATTTAATCATGAATAATGACATAAATATGTGTCATTGCAAAAAGAGCATCTGATTAAATTATGGACCCTCCTTTTTTCAGAATTTTTTCCCAAGTATTTTCATCTTAAACCTTTTCAAATTTGCTGCTTAAAATACGGGCAAAAAAACACTAGGAGCCACATAACCAATCTAAATGTAAAATATTTAGTTTGAGTTATGTTTATCGTAGTGAGATGGCATTTAACTGGTCAAGATTAATAGTTACACAAATTGAGTTTTGCCCATTATTTAGGGACCTTGTTATTGACTAGGAACCACATATGAAAGAACTGCTGTAGATTACCAATTCCAGGGGCCGAAATTAGTGAATGGCAACATGACGGAGTTTAGGAAGTCATAATTGTGATCCTGAGAAGTTGGCACAGGTTATATAAATACAAAGAAAGGTCTTAAATTAATGTATAGGTTTTTAAGCTTTCCAGCAAAAAAAATGAAAATAGCTACATATATTATTATGCATATTTAAATGGCAGAGCTTTAAAAATCCTTAACAATCCTAGGAAAAAAAAAAAAAATCAAACCTTAAGGTCGCACTAAGTGTTTCAAATTTTTTTTTGTTAGACAAAAGGGCCATTTGTGAAAATGTGACAAACACAAAAGGCAACAGTGACTCTTTAACAGCCGTAGAAATAAATATATTCATGAACACGAATTGCGTTGACAACAATCCGGCGAGCTTGTAAGGAGGACAAATGACGACCTAATAAGGAAAGGCTTTTGTCTACACAATCTACTACACTAAATTGCATAAGAAACCTGGTATAAAGTCAAAACTGTTCAGCAGCAGATAAAAAAGCAAATACATTTACAAATGACATATTTTACACAATTAATTTCTTAAAATAAATTAAATAAATATACAATTCCAATAAGGATTCAGGGTAACTTGGCTGGCAGTGTTCTCAAATTGGCTCATCTGGCAGACCATTCACAGAAATGTAGTTGAGGCCAATCGGATCCTTTGACTGGCAAAACAAAGGATGCAAAAGCCTTTTTTCACACTGAAGGCATTTCCTTTAACTGCACAAAAGCACAAGGGAATTCGCATTACTCTTGGGTGTCACATTATGGACACCAGTCTTTCAAACAGGTCAGCTAACTCACTCAGGAAGTAATAGTGGACCCCTAATCAAATGCCATCTCTTGACTTTTCCTTACACAGCGAGCCACTTTTTTCTTGAATTCTCCATTAGGGTCCTCCCTCCATTCTTTCTGTGGGAATAACATCATATTATTAAGAACATGATTACAGATTATGAAACTTTAAAACCAAATTTAGAATCTGGAACACAGAAAGTAGCATAACCCACTGCAGCATCCACATTCGCTGGTGAATCACTGTTTGGGTCAGCAAGCATGGAGATAACGCTAATCATGATTGTCTCAACGGTGTGGATTGGAAGCCAGCGCTCTTCAGGCTTTTCATAACCAAACTTGTCTTCTCCTGGCTCGTGCAAAATTGAGATGCAAACATCCCCGTTCTTTGCCACTGTGAAGAACATTTTCGATAACAATGCACACTCTTCAGTCAAAGAAAAATGTTTGGCTCTTTATCTGCAATACTTATGAGATAATGAGGCAATTAAACTTTTAGGTAACGGAACTCAGAGATGTGACTTTACCGTTTGGATGCCAAATCTCAGTGATGAATTTCATCTTTGGTGGCCGCAGTGGATAGTCGTAGGGAAACGTTAGGTATGCTTTGAAAAAACCCCCTTCACTGTGAAAAAAAAAATGAGAATGATTTTTAAAAATCTATTATGAGTCTTTTAATTATTTTGTAACTCTTCTTATCGAAATGTTCTCACAAAAGGGTGTCTTGTGGACCAATAATCACAACTTCCCACTTATATATGTCGTCATCGTCTATCAAGCCAGCTGAAAATCCCTCCACTGGGTTCTTGTTGAGCTCTGGCAGAAGAAAGAACACTGTAGTTTTAAAATATTTTCCCTAACATATGATTAATAAAGCAAAACCTACACATGGCCAATAACTACAGAAACAAAAAAACTAATAATTCTTAGAATATAATGTCTAAGAAATGCAATGAAAGGAGGACATTATCCCCTGTCCCACTGGTACATTGACATTGAAGCAATCTCTATCAAAATCATATTTAATTAGACAGTGTTATCAACTTTGCTAGATGACAAGCAGATCAAATATGGAAAAAACAGCAATGTATTGATTCATATTCATATAAAATACCTGGGTTTTGAACTCTGCAAGTCAGACTTTGGACAAAACTGAACTTGGTGTCAGTCCTTAAGATTATCGTACAACTTTTTATCCATATTAGAACCCAAACATTGTCTTCTTACTGATGAGAAATATTTTTATTATATTCATTTAGGTAACTATACAGATTACTGCCAAGAGATTCATGTTTTCTTCATTATCATACAAAAATAATCATGTGCTCTCCAAAAAGATATATGAAAGCAAACAAGTCAATGGGCTTGATTAAAAGTTTACCAACGGTCAAACTAGTAAATTTAGCCTAGCAGCTCACAAAAAACTCACAGAAATAATAAGTTCAATGTATTAATTTGAGATCTACATTTATTCATAGCAATTGTTTACAGATTAAGTACAGTGTTTTCACGTAAAGGTGTTGGACTACTACTAACGCCTTTAGCTGTGTTACTGATCAAGGCAGAGTACATTATTAGATTTTTTTTTTCTTTTTCAGTTGCAGCTTTATGTTACAAGCTAACCAAAAAAGTGTATCCGTACGCTGAGGTGTGTTGACAAGGGGACCATTTATTGTTTATGTGTTAGCTCTCCGAACTCAGTCCGATCGCATATACGCCGCTTATCACAGTTTGCTTTGAAGCTAACGTTAGCATATGGGTTTAACAACCAACCTTTGTTTTGACGTGAGCACTGATGTTTGTATTACCTGCTAACTGTTTTCGAAGAAGTAATGCTGATTGTTCGGTCATGGTATGAAAATTGAAGCGTGGGAAAACACTGTCTGAAGACAAACACCTTCGGGAGAAAAACAGAGTTATAACTGGAACAGAAACCGAGTGCCGCGATAACAACTGCTGGCTACTTTGACAGTTTGTCTCCTAGATTAGGGTATGCGCATGCGTGTCTATATAGCTGCGTCTCAATTCGCAGGCTGCGTCCTTCGAAGGAACCAGCCTACCCAGCCTCAGGAGGACCCAGCCTTCGGAGGATGCTCTGGAGGATCCTCAGCGGTTGGCAAATGGGACGGTCTAGCCTTTGGAGCACTTCCTGGTTGCGACACGACGTCATCACGTCTACCCCAAAAAAGCGCCAAACAAAATCCGACAGCTCGAGAAATGCGGAAAGAAACAACAAAAACAACAAAAAAAATAGATATGGAATTTTTTATTTTTTTTTTTACTTGTCATTTGAGGAGGAGAGTTGGCTTTGACGGCTTCGGCGGCAGCAAAACAGGTGTTATACCGAGAAATGCATGCCTGCTGAGAATTGCATCCCCTCTCGCGGGAGCGCGCATCGCTCCACTCTCGCATATTGATGAGAAAACTACGGAAGAGGATTAAGGAAAAACAAAATTTTAATAAAGCAGACTGGATTAAATGTAGATTCTTGAGTCAAATAAACTTGGAAAAAGTAGATATGAGAATGAATATAAATGATGTAAACAAAAAAAAAATAGTAAGATAATTATGGAAGCAGCCGACCATTCTATAAAGAAAACAGGGTGTAAAAATTATAAGAAAATGGTACCATGGTGGACAAATGAATGTGAAGTAAAGAAGCAATGAAAGTAAGAAATAAAGCATTTAAGGTACTAAAAGGTAATCCAATTTATAATAATTTAACTGATTATAAAAGAAAGCAAGCAATGGTAAGGAGAACTATTAGGAATGCAAAAAGAGAATATTGGAGAAATTTTTGTAGCACAATAGGGAAAGACACAAAAATAGAAAAAAATTGGTAAGTAAATAAAAGAATGAATGGAATAAAGAGAGAGTTTGAATATTTTAATAATAGACAATAAAAAAAATAATAGTTCAAATAATATTAGCGAAGAGGGTAGAAAAGGAAGAGAATATACAAAACGTAAACATAAAGATTTACCAGAGTGTGTTTAAGAAACAAACAATTTATTGAATGTTGAGTTTACAAAGTCGAACTGAATGACGCACTGAGGAAGACAAAAAATACAGCACCAGGTAAAGATCAAATTTGGTATAGAATGATAAGTCAACTTAGTGAAAAATCCAAAGATATAATATTGCAACTATGTAATAAAATTTGGGACAAGGGAAAATTACCGACAAACTGGAAAGGATCAAATATAGTACCAATAGCTAAACCAGGAAAAGATCATTCAAATCCACAGAATTACAGACCAATAGCTTTAACATCAAATCTATGTAAAATAATGGAAAGAATCATTAACAATAGATTAGTATATTATTTAAATAAAAAATTTCATATGTCAAAATATCAAAGTGGTTTTCGAAAAGGGAGGTGTACTAATGATCCAACACTTTGTTTAGAGCATGAAATTAGGAGAGCACAAGTAAGTAAGGAAAGTGTAGTGGCAGTATTTTTTGATATAGAAAAAGCATATGATATGATGTGGGTTAAGGGATTATTAATTAAATTATCCATGTTGGGTATTAAAGGAAAAATATTTAAATGGATTAAAGATTTTTTAACAAATAGGAAAATACAAGTTAGAATTGGTGAAGTCATCTCAGAAAATTATATTGTAGAAAATGGAACTCCGCAGGGTAGTATCATAAGTCCATTACTGTTCTCAATCATGATAAATTATGCAGATGATGGAGCTGTTTGGAACAGAGGGAAATATGTAGATTTTATTGTAAAAAAAATTACAAGAGATTATTATTGAAATAGAGAAATGGGCGTTGCAATGGGGATTTAAGTTTTCAGTTGAAAAAACAAAAGTAGTGATATTTAATCAGAAAAAAGTAAATAAGGAAATCAAATTAAAACTATACAGCCAAGGATTAGAACAAGTAAAATGTATAAAATTTTTTGGATAATGGTTTGACGAAAAATTAAAATAGAATATTCATATTCAAAAAGTTGTTGATAAATGTAAGAAGATTTTAAATATTATGAGATGCTTGGCTGGCAGTGACTGGGGAGCAGATAGGCAATCACTAAAACAGATTTACACAAGTATGACTAGATCCAACATAGACTTTGGATAGATACAAATAGATATATATATAGAAAGATATATAGATTGGTAGATAAATACATCAAGAACCACACTGCATACAGTAAGTGGCAGTAATGCTACTCAAAATTTGTTGCCAACCACCAATAAACCAAAAGAAGAAGAGGATTAGGGCCACTGAAAAAAATAAATAAAAGTTAACTGATTTTTAAAATTTCTTTCAGTTTATTATGGTAAAAAAGCCAGAATTCTGAGAAAAAAGTCAGAATTCTGAGATTAAACTCAGAATTCTGACTTTTTTCTCAGAATTCTGACTTTAATCTCAGAATTCTGACTTTAATCTCAAAATGTTGGATCTTAATGTAGATGGGCACCATGAAGGAAGAGATGTGGGAGCACTCAGCTTCACTGACAAAGATTTGAGTTTTTTGAGAGGGCCAATGACACATTGGTGGAAAATGACGGAATTAGGCAAGTTTTTAAGTGCCCGAGGGGTCCCCTTATTAATGGAGGAGCAGAAGATCATTAAAACAAGAGAGCTAGTCTCTAAAACAGACATGTATGGAAGAGGATTAGGGCCACTGGGAAAAAAAAAAAAAGTTTACTGATTTTTAAATTTTAATTCAGTTTAATATGGGAAAAAAGTCAGAATTCAGATTTTTTTTTCTCAAAAGTCTGACTTTAATCTCAGAATTCAGATTTTTTTCTCAGAATTCCAACTTTAATCTCAGAATTCTGACTTTAATCTCAGAATTTTGGATCTTAATGCAGATGGGCACCATGAAGGAAGAGATGTGGGAGCACAAAGCTTCGTTGCCAAAGATACGAGTTGTTTGGGAGGGCCTGGTGGAAAAAGACAGAATTAGGTGACTTTTTACGTGCCAGAGGAGTCCCCGAAGATGCCATTTCATCAATAAAAGAGCAGAATGTGAGTAAAACAAGAGAGTAGTCTGTAAAACAAACACGGCTATGGCTTTATGCTAACATGTTTGTTAGATTAAGTTGATGGAGATTGTCAACATAATAGACAACAGAGGCAGTGGTTTAACAGCGGAAGCTATGGTTGGATTTATAATTTAAAATGGTTTACTTTTACTGTTAAGACCTGGAGCTTAGATGGCTAGCCGGTCCTAATATCAGCTGCTTAGGCTGATATTCAGCAGACAATGTTTAGCAGACCAAGAGTTATTTAATAAACATTACATAAATGTGACGGTGGCAGGCTTCAGTCACAGCTCACTAAATCAAACAATGCGGTGCTTAAACTTTTTATACATTTTAAAAACATGATTGTCGGAACCCACTGTAGCTTTGAACTGTGACCACAGGGTGGAGTGATGACGTTAGTGCAACCAGTGGGAACGCAGAATGACTGGATAGATGGATGGATGGATGGATGGATGGATGGATGGATGGATGGATGGATGGATGGATGGATGGATGGATGGATGGATGGATGGATGGATGGATGGATGGATGGAGAGAAACAGGCTATTAACAAACGTAGAGATTAGGTACAACACACAAACATCAACATTATAAATCGGATGATTTATAATGTGATTTATAATGTTGATGTTTGTGTGTTCTACCTGTAATACTTTTTACCTTAAATGGACTGTATGTTGTAATCTCTTTTTACATCACAATGAATTATTTTCTTTTCTTTTTTTATAATGGGTGATCAATTTCCTTAAAGGGTACATTAAATCTCCCTTTTTCCATTATTTTTATCCCTCCTCAAAACAGTAGCTAGCCCTTACGTTATTTACAGCCAGTTTTTCCTACCTATGGCTGCTATGTTAAGGGTGCTCCAATTGGTTTGTAGGGAAAATATTTTCAAAACTAATAATTTACTTGTTCTTTGTGCTTAGATTGACTGTGATGTCATAGCGCTGATGGATGATGCAACTCTGGCAGATTACATCCCCTCCTATGGAGACCGAATTGCCCTCTTCAATTTCTGCAGCAGCAAACAACAACCCTCAAAAAAAAAAAATCAAGGACTTCTGCAAAGGCTTAGTGAGAAAATGAAAAACAGATAGGGAAGTGCAACAGAGAACACCTCACATAAAAGAACAAGGAAGACAAAGAAGCAGAAAGCAACACGAAATGTCGAGATAGGATGGATCCATTCTGATGGAAAAGTAACCAAACAGGTGAGAGCGGAGCAGGAAGGCGGCACTAGAAAAATTCAGATGTCCACTGATGCTGGATTAAAGGATATTCTTCGAGAAGTAAAGAAACTGTTTTTTTCCTGATGGCATATCACCTAAGGGACTGAAACAGATTTTGAATTTGAGGTTTGGGACTTTAAAGAGAACCACCTTACTGAAGACACCTGCCAGAGTATTGGCACTATGTATGAAGCAGCAAGGCTGACAATGTTGCGCTTCTACATTTCAACAAAGCTGAAAGATCCTAAAGAAGATGAAAGTGAGAAATCTGATGTCATATTTGTCTTGGAAAGCAATAGCAGTAAAATTAATCCTTTGCAAGGGGTGGAACTCAGGAATAGTTATGCTGAACTCCAACCTGGATCGGACCATTTAGATAATTCAGAAATCACTTTCGGTCCCATTCTTGATGCTGAAGAAGATTCGGAAGAAACATTAATCTATGAGGGTTTTCTTGCACCACTTACAGAGGATGTAACAACAATCACTGAATGTTACACCAACACTTTAAATTAAATTATTACTGCTTTCTCTGATGCCGAAATTATGAGAACTTCCAGACAACAAAGAGGAAGCTGGCAATGGATCGGGGATACTGAGAGATGGACTCACCTGCTTCTGGAATGAATTCTATGAGCGATGCACTCTTGGTACAACAGTTAAAGTGCCATTCATTCGCCATGATTTCACTGCTGAGAAATGGAAGGCAGTTGGGCGAATACTTTTGAAAGGTTACCAGGACTGTCAGCATTTTCCAAATAAACTTGCAATCCCCTTTCTTGAACAAGTGCTTCTCAATAGTGTTTACAGTGATCTTCAAGGACACTTTCTGCAGTTTGTCAGCAGCCAAGAATGTGAGGTTTTGAGGAAAACAGTCAAGAACTTTTCTGCTGTTGATTTAAATGATCTTCTGGAAGGTCTTGATAGTTATGGCTGTAGAAAACAAATAACTGCTGAAAATCTTTCTAACATCGTTTAGATGTTAGGAAGATTTGTGCGCTTAATAGTACACAAAGAGCTTGTCCAAAACACAATGTTTGTCATTGACTGCTGGAGGGAGGTCATCTATCCACATCTTTCCATTATCCCAGAGGCACTAATTAAGTTGTTTCTGGACCTGCAACCAACACCAAGAAAAGTCTGCCAACTGCTGAAATTTGAAGAGGATTTGTCTCTAAAGCAAAAACAAGTGGAAAACCATCTCAAAAGATTCATCAGAGAGCTGGATGATGATAAAATTCATGAGTTTATGCGATTCTGCACTGAATCGGATCTTATAGTAACAAATAGTATTTATGTGGAATTTCAAGATATGACAGATTTCACAAGAAGACCAGTGGGACACACATGTGGAAGCATTCTACAAATAACTGATAGCTATGAAAACTTCCCTGACTTCCGTTCTGAATTTAATGCAATTCTTGAAAGCAATGTGTGTATAATGGACATTGTCTAGACTCTTAACCCTCCACTACATTTGAAATACTTATGCAGACTACAGCAGGGCTGTAAAAAGACATAGATTATACATTTTAAACTCATGAAAATGTCTCCTTTTCTAAAAAAAAAAAAAAAAGAAAAAAGAGATAATTTAACCTTTTGTGCCTGAAAACCAGTTTTGGCTAAAATATTCCTGTTTCTTAATATGCCTATTTTCGGAACCTATGGTTGAATTTGTCAAGCACAAATAAATACACTGTTTATTACTGTAACAGGAGCTGTTTTCACCAGACCAAGTTATCCAGCTGCATGCTAGAAACTAAGCAGCAAAAATGAAAAAAAAATCAGTTGATATCTATAAATTAGTGTGAAGTTTTTTACTCTGTTTTCCTTAATATTTCACATATTTTGTGACAGTGTGGCACAGACTCTTGTAAGTAAGGAGTAAGAATAAATAATCCAGGTTTAAAATTCTTTACAGCTTATGCAATTGTTTGTTAAGGTAAATTGAGGTATCAGACTTCTTTTTTCGCATTTGAACATAAATGACCATGTTTATGGCTTTTCCAGTTTTGTCTAAATATCTCATTGATTCTAAACATATATATGTTTCATGCACCAATCAACTTCAGCGTTCTTGTGATGAATCCACTGATCCTTATGTTATAAATGTAAACTTTACAATGGAGTTGTCAGGAATCCAGTTTGTGTGGTCTGTTTTTGTGTTTCCTTTCCTCCTCCACCAGGTGGTGCCCCGTCCTCATTGGTTCTCCTTGCACACCTGCAGCTCATTGCCTCATTACCTGTGGAGTGTTCTTAAGCTGCTGACTGCCACTACCTCGATGCCAGTTTTTCCCTGGAGTCGGAGGTGTGGCACGCCAGGTGTACGAGCGGTTGATACGAAGCGGAGAAAAGGCGGTTGACATAAACTGGTTTGTGACTGGATCGGGATGACAACTAAGTCAGATGGGGGTGGTGAGGATGATATGGATTTTGATGAGTGGACATCGGTAGGAAGAGGAAGAGGTAGAGGGAAGGCGAAGGTTCTGAAAGAGGATAGAGTAATTGGTAGTCAGAACGGTAAACGAAGTTTGGAAGAGTACAGCTCAGATGAAGAAAACAGAGCAGTCAGGAAGAAAGAAACAAACGAAGAATTTAAGGTAATTCTTAAATTCAGGAACGAAGATATAAATGTTAACCTAAGCCCGATTCAAGTTTCAAGGGAAATAAAAAAGAAACTAGGGGAAGTGGAATTTGTTAAAACATTACGAGATGGAAACATGTTGATAAAATGCAAATCTGAAGATCAAAAGAATAAATGCATGCAGATTGACAACATTTGCAAAAAAGTTGTTAGTGAGAAATTAATTGTTGGAGAAAATAGAGTATCACGTGGTGTTATCACTGGTATTCCGCTGGAGGAGGATTTAGAAAGACTCAAAAAGAATATACAGGGGGGAGAAGTTCGGAGATTGAAAAGATTGCAAAAGCATGTAAATGGAGAAAAAATAGAGAGCCTAACGATTCTTTTGGAGTTTCAAGGAGAAGTCCTTCCTGATTAGATTAAAATTTGATTTATTAGTTTTCCTGTAAGACCATATGTCCCTCCACCTTTGCGCTGTTTTAAATGCCAAAGGTATGGTCATATCGCAGCAGTATGTAAAGGGAAACAAAGATGTGCCAAATGTGGAGGAGATCATCGATATGATGAATGTGGAGTGGATGTACAAATGAAATGCTGTAACTGTGGGGGTCAGCATAATGTGGCATATGGAGGTTGTGAGGCAAGGAAAAAGGCAGCAGAAATTCAACAGCTGAGAACAATTAAAAACATCACGTATGCAGAGGCAGCAAAAAGTGTTCAAGAGAAAAGAATGGTTCAGAAAAGTCAACAAGTAATGTCTAGCACAAGTGCTGACCCCAGCCAAACTTCAAAATCTGGAATGGAGATCACAATGGATAAATTAATATTATTCATGGAATATGTAATCAACTGCACTGATCAAGTAAAACAGAAAACAGAAAAAATTAAAATTATAGTGAAAGGTGCAGAAAAATGTTTGGCCGTGAAGGATTTATCTTGGGAACTAATAAATAAAAGGCTTGAAATGGATGGAAAACAAGGTGGAGGAAAAATTCAATGATTATCTTACAATGGAATGCAAGAAGTCTAATAGCAAATGGTCAAGAATTGAAAGGATATATAAACTGTTTGGAAATTAAACCAGATATTATTTGTGTTCAGGAAACATGGCTTAGACCAGAACTAGATTTTGTGATTTCGGGATATGATAGCATTAGAAGGGAAAGGGAGAAAGAAAATGGAGGAGGTTGTATAATATTTGTTAAGCAAGGGATTCAGTATAGGTTTGTAGATAAAGGATCATCTTTAGAATGGGTATCTGTGGAAATTTGGATTAACAAAGAAAATATTAGGATCATAAACTTTTATAATCCCTGTAAAAAACTGAGTTTGGATGAAATAGAGGAAATGTTTAAAAATCTAGGAAAAAGTCTAATCTGTTGTGGAGATTTTAATGCTTTTAGCACTGTATGGGGTCATAAAAATGATGAAAACGGAGAAGTGGTAGAACAAATAATGGATAAGAAACAATTGGTCTGTATTAATAATGGAGAAGGGACAAGAATTGATATTAGAAATGGAAATGGCTTAGTAATTGGAAAGTTTTAAAAGAATCAACATTAGGAAGTGATCATTATCCTATTGTTATTGAAATCGGTTTAGAAATAGAGAAAGTTGTTAATAGAAATATAGAAAAATTGAATTTTAAAAATGTTGATTGGGAAAAATATAAAATAATAAGTGATGAAAAAATGCTAAAGGTTAATTTAAATTTGGATATAGATAGTGTAAATTCTTCTATCTGCGAAGCTATTTTAGGAGCGGCCCGAGGAACGATTCAAAAGAAAAAAGGAGAGTATAAGAGAAAAATAGTACCATGGTGGACAAAGTAATGTGATTTGGCAATTAAATCTAGAAATAAAGCTTTTAGACTGTTAAAGAGAAATCAAAATTTTGAGAATTTGTTGGCATATAAAAAGTCACAAGCTTTGGTTAAAAGAACAGTAAAAAGTGCTAAAAAGGTTTATTGGGGAAATTTCTGTAATTCAATAGGAAGAGAAACAAATATTTCAAAAATCTGGGGAATGATTAAACGAATGAATGGAATTAGAAGGGAATATAGTTATCCAGTTCTTAAGAATGGAGAAGAAATGGCTCTAAATGATGAGGACAAGGCAAATATGCTGGGTAGGAAATTTGTTGAAATACATAGTAGCAATAATTTAAATATAGAAGAAATAAGGAAAAGAGCTTCTATTATTAAGGAAAATAGTAATCTATTAGAAGTAGATACAGAATATAATGATCTATTGAATAATTCCTTTTCATTATTTGAATAAACAACTCTTTAAGGAAAACAAAAAATTCTTCTCCAGGAAAAGACAATATCTCTTATATTATGATTAAAAAACTTAGTAATTCATGTAAAAAGATATTATTAGATTTCTTTAATAAGATATGGGAAGAGGGTTATTTACCTGTGGCATGGAAGGAAGCAATTATAGTTCAAATTTTAAAGCCAGGGAAAGAGAAGTCAAATCCTACAAGTTATAGGCCCATTGCTTTGACATCACATATATGCAAAATAATGGAAAGAATGATAAATGAAAGGCTGAGTTATTTTGTGGAGAAGAAGGGGTTTTTGTCAGAATTTCAGAGTGGATTCAGAAAAGGTAGAAGTACTATGGACCCTGTTTTGTGTCTAGAACATGAAATCAGAAAAGGGCAAGTTAATAAGAAGAGTGTGGTGGCTGTCTTCTTCGACATAGAGAAAGCCTATCATATGATGTGGAAAGAAGGGTTTTTAATTAAATTAAGAAAAATGGGGGTTAGAGGATCAATGTTTAATTGGATAAAAGATTTCTTACATAATAGATTTATACAAGTAAGAATAGGTCAACAATTGTCTGAAAAATATTTTGTTGAAAACGGAACACCTCAAGGAAATATTGTGAGTCCTTTGTTTTTCTCTATTATGATTAATGATATGTTTGATAAGTTAGAGAGTGGGATGGGTTGTTCATTATTTGCTGATGATGGAGCAATCTGGAAGAGAGGTAAGAACTTGAAATTCATAGTTAAAAAATTACAAGAAGCAATTTATAGTATAGAAGAGTGGTCATATAATTGGGGTTTTAAAATTTCAATAGATAAGACAAATACTTTATTTTTCACTAGGAAGAAAGTATCTAGTGATTTTAAATTATATTTGTATAAACATGATTTAGAAAGAGTAAAGGAGTTTAAGTTTCTGGGTTTGTGGATGGATGAAAAACTAACCTGGAGTAGTCATATTCAAAAAGTAGTGGACAAGTGTAAGAGAGTTTTAAATGTTATGAGGTGTTTGGTGGGGAGAGAGTGGGGCGCTGAGAGGACAGCGTTAAAATTAATATATATACGGGTTTAATAAAATCTGTATTAGATTATGGCAGCCTGGCATTTGGATCAGCATCAGAAACACTTCTTAACAAATTAGATATAATTCAGTTTCAAGCCTTGAGGTTGTGCTATCAGAACAACTGCAATCTCAGCTTTGTTAGTTGAAATGGGGGAAATACCTCTTTACCTTAGAAGATTACAGTTAAGATTATCTTACTGGAGTTATTTAAAGGGTCATTATAAAAAACATCCATGTCAAGAAATTTTAAAACCTAGTTGGGAAAAAGGGAAAAAGACTTTAAAATCATTTGGTTGGGAGATAGAAAGTGATGTTAAAAATTTTCAGTTATCATCCATGAAAATGAGTGTCACTGGTTCATCCATCTCTATTTAACGAAATCATTTTGGACTTATCATTGTTGAAAAAGAGGGAAAAAGGAAATTTTTCAGAATCTTGCTCAGTCCAATCATATATAGAAAATAAATATTTTGGTTATGTTCAAGTGTATACAGATGCATCTAAAAGCCTAAGTAACAAGAATGGGGTGTCATTTATCGTCCCAGAATTTAATATTAAAAAATGTAAGAGGATTTCTGATGACGTATCAGTGTTTACAGGGGAAATGATGGGAATTATTTTGGCTTTGAGTTGGATTGAAGATGTTCGTCCTTTAAGAAGTTTAATTTGCTCTGATTCAAGCTCATCGTTATATTCAATTAAAAATAATCAGTCCAATAGTAGACCAGACCTATTGGAGATTCAGTTAATACTTTATAGAATTCAGGCCATGGGATTAATTGTAATTTTTACATGGGTTCCATCTCATATAGGAGTAATAGGAAATGAATTGGCAGACAGATATGCAAAACAAGCTTAAAAAAACTGTTACATTGAGATATTGATTCCATTTAGTAAAGAGGAGATAAAATCTATTATAAAACAAAAGGTTAAGGAAAGATGGCAGAAGCAGTGGGAGGAGGAAATAACTGGTAGGCTTTATAGCATTCAAAGGAAGGTTGGGGTAATGAGGGGAACAGGAAGATGTAGAAAAGAAGAAAATATCTTATCCAGGTTACGTTTTGGTCATACAGGTTTAAACAGTACATTATTTATAATGGGAAGACATCCATCAGGAAATTGTGAATTTTGTTTTCAAGAAGAGACAGTAGAACATGTTTTGTTGTTTTGTCCAAAGTACTCTGAGGAGAGAAGGAAATTAGAATATCGACTTCTAAGGAATAAGTTACAGTTAAAAATATCAGATATGTTGGGATATTGCTCCTCTTCTGAATATTTACGTCATTTATTAAGCTTTCTTGAGAAAACTAAACTGATAGAAAGGATTTAGTTTGTTTTTTTTGAAGTTGCGTCCTGATCCACACTCCTTACCAGTAGGTGGCGGTAATGCACACCAATAAGTTGCTTGTCAACCACCATTAAACAAGAAACAACAACAACTACCTTGATGCCAGAGTGTTTGCCAATATATGGTACTCTAGCCATGTTTACTTTAGCAGAGTCTAACCTGAGTTTTGGTTTGCTAGTTTTAGCTTCTCAAGCCAAGCTGAGTTTTTCTGAGTCAAACTGAGTTTTTGTCAACCTGAGTCTTAACTTTGTTTTTGTCTTTGCCTCTCGGCAGGAAGTCATCCTGCAAACTGGATTTGTTCGGTCCTTCTCTCTCTGGAAGGTTCAACTGAGCTTCTAACTGAGCTGGGGTTCCAAACAGGAAGTTTGTACCCACTTTCCCCAAGAAGTACTGAGCTACTAACTGAGCTGGGTTTCCAAACAGGAGGTTTTGATCCACTTTCCCCAAGAGGTCGTATGAGCTTCACTCCTAGCAAAGGTTTCTTCAGCACCGCAGCCCATTCAATTACCACAGGAAATCAGAGTGGCAGTCAGCTTCTCCATTTACTCCAAACAGGAAGTTTGGATCCACTTTCCCCAAGAGGTCGTTTGAGCTTCACACCAAGCAAAGGTTTCTTCAGCACCGCAGCCCATTCAAGTACCACAGGAACTCTCTCCGGTACAATCCTCTCAGTCTGGATTCCATAAAGGACACCTTTCCTTGGAGAAGTGAGTCTGCAACCTTTTCCTCCAATTCTAAGATTCAAATTTCCCACTGAGCCTGAACTAACCGCAGTGTCTTCCCCTCACCTTTCAGTCCCTGTTAAGCATTTGGTTTTGTTCTCCACTTCAATGAAGCAAAAAAGGTGTCCATAGATTACATCTCCTCTTTCTCCTGAGCCCTGTGCAAAGCATGTTTTACTTTTAACCTGTCGCCACCTCGCCGTGAATCCAGCTCCTGTCTGCTCCATGTGTTTAGGCTACTCTGTGTCCGTCCGCTCCAGGTTTGAAAGTGGGTGTGTGGCGGAAGAGCTGACGAGGAGGAGGAGGCGGAGGAGGAGACCTCAAATAGGCCATTTAAGGGAAGGAGGACTCTTCTGATGCACCGACAATAAATTCAGGAGACTGAGCGAGGAAGAAAACTAAAAAAACTCCTTTAAAGGAGAAAAAAAAACTAAAATATTGTTATAACAAAAAGTAGGCCTTAAATAGGCTGAGGGTAAGTCTTTTTTAGACCGAGAGTAAGTCTTTTTGAAAGACTTACAACCAGACTCACAACCAGACTTTAGTATCCCTTGGGCCAACAGCGGGGATCCATCTATCACCTTTGCTCCATGGTCACTCAATAGGAGCCACTATCCTCAACAGACTGCAAACAGCCCCGTATGGACTAGCTCTTCATTCAAGGAGGGGCCGCCGTGAGGACAATTTGAGTGACTGTGATAGAAAACGTGTACAACAGGAAAAGAAAATAACAGACTGAGGCACAACTGACTCTCTTTCAAAACTGTCACTAAACTGTTTAAACTGTTCTCCATGTAGCCCTCAGACAAGAACAGTTCTCCAATGATGGTTGCTGCTACATCTGTGGCAAACCTGATCACTGGGCCAGAAACTATCCACATAAAAAACGTGGGGGCAGAGGAGGATGTGGCAGAGGCTCAGTTCATTATGGAGGTCCACCACCCTACCATGGATGCCAGGCAGGACAGAGAGGAGGCTACAACCATGGGACAGAGAAGCCAATCTCAGCAAGGGGGATATCAGGTACAGAAGCGAGGTCACTCTACCACTAGTGAGGGAGCTGTTGGAGCGACCCCCGGTTCAACAGACTGCAAGTAACACACACACACACACCCACAAAGTACATTATAGAGACATATAATAGTTTCCTGATAATTTTTTATGTTTTTTATGTTTTATGTGAGTTGCTGATCTCACGTTTGAATTGATATTCCTTTCCCTCTTAATGGATATCCAGTAACTAAAACTCTCAATAACAGTTTGGTCAGGGTTTAATTAGCTTTCTTTGATAAACGGTATCCTACCGTAGCAAACTTTCTATCTTTCTCTTATCTATAGGTACCTTTTCTTTAATGATGTGCTGTGTTAGAGATCTCTGAGGATTATCTAATATAAAACAGGCCTGTTTCCTCACCTCAACCCACCTCCAGAGGGGTTTTTTTTGTTTTTTTTTTAATTCTTTTTATTATTTTATATCACCTAAGGCGCCTAAGAAAAATTTGTAATGGCTCCCACTCTGGTGTTTTCCAATCCACTTTGTCTGTTTAACCACGAAGGGTGGATGAGCAGGGAGACTGTAGATTTTTATATTGCTCCAATAATTTGGTAACAAATTGGCAATAGTTACCTTTTCTTCTCAAAATTCAATGCTGTAATAACAGGACTGTCACATATTCTGCGCGTTTGTGATGGTTACTACACTGCTATCCCAGCATTTCTTAATTCTAATCTGACCCCTTTCGTATCCCACCTTGTCATACCTAAAAATAATTAATTTCATAATTTGCATTAAGTAAACAACACCTGAGGAAGTCCCACCTCATTACAGTGTTGTAAAAAAAAATAAAATAAGGGGCCCTTTTAAATTTCCCTAGATCTGAAATGCTTTTCTTTTCCAGATCATCACACCCATAGAACACTGTTATTTTAACATGAGAAAGCATGTGTTAAAGGGGGGAGATTTATATAAGGGTTTATATAATCATATAAAATGTAATAATAATGTTATTAAAATGAATACAATGTTGCTGTCATTAAATAATTCAGTTTAGTCATTCAAGCTATCTCAGTCAAGTTTTCTTGGATTCCTCCTTTTTCTTAAATCTTTGTCATTCCTTCGAGGCTGATTTTGTTGGGATCTGGAGGTCTGTCCACCTTTCTCCAGCAGAGGGCGTTCTAGGTCTCCTGGGGCTGAAGCTGACCACCACACCTGCGGCTCATGAGCTCATCAGGGGACCAGCATTTAAGGAGGGGCAGAGCTACAATCCGACGGCAGAGTGTTTGCCAGTTATGGTTAGCAAGCCTGAGCCAACCTGCCTGTCTGAATCTCTGACTCCCCTGAAGCCTGAATCAGAACCTAATCTGTTTTTTGTCCTCTGCTTCTCAGGAAGAACCTGCCTGGAATCCTGAAGACCTGGAAGGATTTCTCAAGCGTGAGACCAAGCGGTCTGTTCTCAGAAGAACGCTGGAAATCCAACTCAGTCTGAAACCTGCCTGCCCGCTCTGAAGAGAAGCTCTGAACCTGCTCAGTAAGATTATCTGCTCTGCCCTGCCTCTGCGTGCCTTCAGCCTCTGGACCCTCCTGGTTCCCCCCCTTCTACCGCTCAGCTCATCTCTGATCAGGTATAGACCTGCAAACACCCAACCTGCAAGTTCACTGAAAGACAGCTAACCAATCTGTCCCTCTCTGCAGTGAAAACCAGTCGTGACCAGACCCGGACCCACTTTATCCCAGAACCAGTGTTCTTTATTTGTTATTATTTCTTTAATAAACTTGTAAACTTTTTCCCAGCCTCTGAGTGTTCTGCATGTGGGTTAGATCCCTTAAAGCCAACATGACAGATTTATGAGGCTGAACTATTTACTGAGCTGTCTGGTCAAAACCTTTTAACCTGCTGCATGCCCCCACCTTTTGCTAAGATAAGATCCTTTGTCATCTGAAATGGAGCTCTTAGACTTTACTTTTTTTTTTTCCCTAATAACGTCTGGTGGGGTTTAAATGGTTACCTAAACAATTTTTTTCGATCCCTTTTATGTTTTGACCCATAGGGGACCATGAGTCAAAAGGGAGGACTAGGAAATGGATGGACAAAAATTGGTTAACAGTTAATTTTTCTCAAAAAGCAACAAAGTTTGTGAAAGTTTAATCTGTGCATGTAAAAACATTTCTAGAGGAAAGAAAATGATGGGCCAAGGAGCCACAAAAACAGTTGATGCTCCATTTTAACATAATAATACATATTATTTAACAGCACCTTTCTGGACACTCAAGGTCACTTTACAGAAAATAAAAACAAAATGAAAAAACAAATAAACAAATACAGGAACATAAAAACAAGTATGTATAGGGACAAGAGCAGCATATTCACAAATAAGCGAGCTGGAACAGATGGGTTTTGAGTCTGGCTTTGAATAAGGGGAGAGAGTCAATACTGAGGAGGATCTAAGGGAGTGAGAGGAAGTGACAATCTGAAAGAGTTCTGATGGATATGGTTATTGATGGCTTTGAAAGTATATAGAAGGATTTTAAATTTTATTCTTAACTGAACTGGGGCCAATGGAGTTGGTAAAGGACAGGGGAAATATGATGAAAGGAGGTGGTTCTGGTGATGACACGAGCAGCTGAGTTCTGAAGAAGTTGAAGTTTATGGACAGATTTAGACATCCTATGATAGATTTTATAGAACTAATTCCACGTGAAGGAAAGAAATGTTGCTTGGTGATTTAGATATGTTTTCAAGATGGATTGAAGCCTAAAATTTTGCAAGTGAAATATTACAACATATGCTGAAATGTTTAATGTTTACCTAATGAGGCATTGTGTCTATCATCCACAGAGCGGAGGAGCTGCTGAGAGAGAAATTAGATCTGTGAAGAAATGGGTCTGAATTCAGTCTAGGCACTCTAAATTGTTTTGATGTGCATGCGCCGCCATAAAAAATCTAACCTTAAGTTTTTTTGAAATTCTCTTTGCAGGATTGCCAGAGACTCATACAACATCTTCATTTTCATATGATGATAAAATGCTTAATTACTTAATCTCACTTACAGCCCAGATAAATGAAGTGGAGACCAGACACAGAGAGGACTACCTTCACAAGCTACTAAACCTTTGCATGATTTACAGCCAGGAGATTTTGTCTTTATAAGAAATTGCAGGAGGAAGATTGGAGATCCTGGAGGTGGATGGGTCCATTCTAGGTGTTACTGACCAGCCACACAGCAGTAAAGGCCGCTGAGAGAACCACCATGCTTCACACACTGATAAAAATGACTTTTTGGTGTAGTAAACTCTATTAGAGTATTTGTACTCGTACTTGTACTCGTTGTCTCCAGCTTTATCCGGAACCGGGTCGCGGGGGCAGCAGACTAAGCAGAGACTCCCAGACTTCCCTCTCCGCTCCAGCTCTGTTGGGGGAAGCCCTAGGCACGCCCAGGCCAGCCGAGAGACATAGTCTCTCCAGCGTGTCCTGGGTCGTCCCCTGGGCCTCCTCCCAGTGGGACGTGCCTGGAACACCTCCCGAGGGAGGCGTCCAGGGGGCATCCGAAGAAGATGTCCGAGCCACCTCAACTGACTCCTCTCGATGTGGAGGAGATCCGGCTCTACACTGAGCCTCTCCCGAATGACTGAGCTCCTCACCCTATATCTAAGGGAGAGCCCAGCCACCCAATGAGAAAGCTCATTTCAGCCGCTTGTATCCGAGATCTCGTTCTTTCGGTCATGATCCAAATTTCATGACCATAGGTGAGGGTAGGAATGTAGACTGACCGGTAAATTGAGAGCTTTGCCTTTTCGCTCAGCTCTCTCTTCACCACGACAGACCGGTGCAGCGTCCGCATTATTGCAGCAGCCGCACCGATCCGTCTATCAATCTCCCGCTCCATTCTTCCCTCACATGTGAACAGGACCCAAAGATACTTGAACTCCTCCACTTGAGGCAGGGACTCTCCTCCAACCTGAAGGGGACAAGCCACCTTTTTCCAGTCGAGAACCATGGCCTCGGACTTGCAGGAGCTGATTCTCATCCCGGCTGCTTCACACTCGGCTGCGAACCTCCCCAGCGCACGCTGTAGGTCTTGGCAGGAGGGAGCCAGCAGAACTACGTCATCCGCAAAAAGCAGGGACGAGATCCGCTGTTCCCCAAACCAGACCCCCTCCGATCCTTGGCTGCGCCTAGAAATCCTGTCCATAAAAGTTATGAACAGCACCGGTGACAGAGGGCAGCCCTGTCGGAGTCCAACATGCACTGGGAACAGGGCCCCTGACTCCATACTCCTGGAGCACCCCCCACAGGGCAGCACGAGGGACACGGTCGAATGCCTTCTCCAAGTCCACAAAACACATGTTGACTGGTTGGGCAAACTCCCATGAACCCTCAAGCACCCTGCAGAGGGTGTAGAGCTGGTCCACTGTTCCACGGCAGGGATGAAAACCACACTGCTCCTCCTGCAGCCGAGATTCGACAATCAGCCGGACTCTCCTCTCCAGCACCCTGGCATAGGCCTTTCCGGGGAGGCTGAGAAGTGTGATTCCCCGATAGCTGGAACACACCCTCCGGTCCCCCTTCTTGTGGAGGGGAACCACCACCCCAGTCTGCCAATTCAGGGGAACTGTCCGCGACCTCCACGCGATGTTGAAGAGACGTGTCAACCATGACAGCCCGACAACATCCAAAACTCTAAGATACTCAGGACGGATCTCGTCCACCCCCGAAGCCTTGCCACCGTGGAGTTTTTTTAACACCTCGGTGACTTCGGACTGGGTGATGAACGAATCCAGCCTCAAGCACCCCGTCTCTTCTTCCCCCACGGAAGGCGTGTCCGTCGGGTTGAGGAGATCCTCAAAGTATTCCTTCCACCGCCCAACAATATCCTCCTTCAAGGTCAGCAGCTCCCCACTCCCACTGAAAACATAGTTAGTGAAGCACTGCTTTCCCCTCCGGAGGCTCCGGACAGTTTGCCAGAATCGCTTTGAGGCCAACCGATAGTCTTTTTCCATGGCCTCTCCGAACTCCTCCCGGGCCCAAGATTTTGCCTCTGCAACTGCCCGGGCTGTGACATGCTTGGCCTCACGGTACCTGCTTGCTGCTTCAGGAGTCCCACAAGCCAGCCAAGCTTGATAGGACTTCTTCTTCAGCTTGACAGCATCCCTTACTATCGGTGTCCACCACAACAGGCCCCGCAAACCTTATGGCCACAGCTATGGGCAGCCGCATCGACAATAGAGGCAGAGAACACAGCCCATTCGGACTCCATTTCTCCAACCTCCCTCGGAACCTGAGAGAAGCTCTCCCGGAGGTGGGAGTTGAACACGTCCCTGACCGAGGGTTCCACCAGACGTTCCCAGCAGACCCTCACTACATGTTTGGGCCTGCCAAGTCTTTCAGGCTTCCTCCTCTTCCAGCGTATCCAGCTCACCAGGTGGTGGTCGGTGGACAGCTCCGCCCCTCTCTTCACCCGAATGTCCAGGACATGCGGCCAAAGATCAGAAGATATGACTACAAAGTCGATCATCGACCTTCGGCCTAGGGTGTCCTGGTGCCAAGTGCACCGATGCACATTCTTATGCCTGAACATGGTGTTCATTATGGACAATCTGTGACCTCCAGGTGTCACTGTCGTTTCCCACGTGGGCGTTGAAGTCTCCCAGTAGAATGATGGAATCCCCGGGAGGGGTGCTTTCTAACACCCTCCCCAGAGATGCTAAGAAGGCCTTGTACTCCATACTGCCGTTCGGCCCATAGGCCAAAACAACTGTCAGAGTCCTCCCCTGCGACCCTCTCGTCTACAGGGGTGAACTCCAACATGAGACGGCTGAGCTGGGGGGAGACAAGCAGCCCCACCCCCGCCCTCCGCCTCTTCCCGCGGGTCACTCCAGAGTAGAAGAGAGTCCAGCCTCTCTCAAGGAGCTCGGTTCCAGAGCCCTGGCTGTGCGTAGAGGTGAGCCCAACTCTTTCTAGCTGGTATCGCTCCACCTCCTGCACAAGTTCGGGCTCCTTCCCCGCCAGTGAGGTGACATTCCACGTCCCCAGAGCCAGTTTAAGCGCCCGCGGATCAGGTCGCCGAGGTCTCCGCCTCTGGCTGCCGCCCAATCCACTTTGCACCGGTCCCTCATGGTTCCCCCTGCAGGTGGTGGGCCCACTGGGGGATGGCTTCGCGTCGCTCCTTCGGGCTGGGCCCGGCCGGGTCCCGCGAGGAAGAACCCGACCACCAGGCGCTCGCCAACGAACCCCAACCCCAGGCCTGGCTCCAGGGTAGGGTCCCGGCTCCGCCGTACTGGACGACGTCACTTGCCTCGTTGTTGTGCTCATCATAAGGGTTTTTGAACCGCTCTTCGTCTGACCTTTCACCCAGAGTCTGTTTGCCTTGGGAGACCCTACCAGGGGCATTTAGCCCCCGACAACATAGCCTCTGGCATCACTCAGGCACTGAAACCCCTCCACCACGTTAAGGTGGACTGATTCTGCTCCGAGTCCAGACGATAGGATCAGAGACGGAGCAAGGGTAGTCCCGACAACAGTTTGAGGTAAGTTATTATTGCTCTACTTTACATTTGTGATAATAAATAAATCTGTGTGTACACTGACGCGAGAAATGTCACTATTCATAAGTTTATTTACTGACGTAGAACGCGTTTCTGTTCCTTGTAAAACTTTTGGTCGCAACATGGATGTAGCTAGCGTTAGCTTAACTGACTGGGAGCTTGAGGTATTTAAGATAAACGAACAAAGCATAGCATTGGGGGGGATAGCTGTGTCGTGCTTGCTTAAAATAAGTATTTGTGCTGCTTTTTAACAGTTTTAACATGAGATGTTACACAATGTCCCTTTAAATGTTCAAGTTAAGAAGGAAGTAGTCAAACAAACAGAGGTATTCTTGTGTTCACTCTTCCATGATAAATAAGTTTTGATTCATGCAGCTCTTTTATTTGTTTCTCAAATAAAAGAGTTAACATTATTTTCTGTTGTGCATTACATGCAGGAGGACAACCGGTGTGACTTCAACAAACATATCCTCAAGATTGTTGTTCTCCATGGTGCTGATGAGGATCCCATTAATGTCTCCATCCTTGTTCAAGACCAGGAGATTTTACCACCATGCCACAGTAAAAAAGCCAACTTGCTTCTCATGGGACTGATATATGCGCTGAACTTGGCATACCCTCTCCCTTTGCATTACACTTTTGAAGTGTTCCAAAAACTTTTCTTGGAGTTGGATGGATTCAAACTATCAGCAAAAGTAAACAACTTGAAGTTAAAGTTGCTTTCATCTTAGAGGAGGCAAATGTGGCATTAAATGCCAAGAATTAGAAGTGGGTTCCAGTTAATGTTAGTGCAAGGTTGCATTGTCATTAATGTTTTATTTTTTTTCCAAACAAGGTTATTTGGCAAAAAAATAATATGTTCAAATATTTAGTAGAGATTTTTATGTTCATTGAGAATGGTTAGAATGATTTTTTTTTTTCATTGTCAAAATTGCATTCTTCAAAATCCACTTGTCTGGACGACTGGTTTGTTAGGTTTTATTATTTATACATCATGTGCACTGTTAATTTGTTAGTCAGATTAGACAGAGCAGAAGGCCTTCCTTCACATTGTGGACATCACGGTGTGTACGGAGGTCATCTAATCAAGACAGCCTTCGTGTCTCTAAGAGTACACAGGATATGGGCACATCTTGGAGCCGGTCTGATAGGAGAGCTGCTGTATCTGTAACCCTGAGACAGAGAGGCAACCTGCATGGAGTTCAAGACATGGATGGCGTGTCAGTTTCTGATACGGACAGCTAAGCATCCACATGATGCAACAAAGACTCAGAAGGTATAAGAAGCAGGTGATGACGTTGTTCGGGGCTCAAACTTTGCCGGACGCTTGCGGACGTGATTTTTGAGACCACAGCTGTGCATAGCTCGAAGCATTGTTCTCTGTCCTGTAAAGACCTGATCTGGAATAAACTCTTTTACTTTTTACTCCTGTTTTATAGTCCTTTTTTATATGGTTTTACCCAGTTTGAGTTAAGAGTAGTAAATAACTTGCTCCCAGGAAAAGAACCGGTGAGAAGGCCCCTGGGGCGCTACAGCCTTCCTTACAAGGGGACAAATCCTTCTCACTTTAACAGGTTCAAATGTTGAAATTGCACTTTTTGTGTGTAGGTTTGTAAGATTTTTATTGCTGATTTGAGTGGTGACTATATTAACTGTTGCTTTCCATAACAGTTTCCAGTAACTATAAAAAGTAATTGAG